TGATGTCAGGGGGTGTGGCATATGCTAATGAGTTATGCTAATGAGTTCCCCTAGCTCTTTTTCTACGAAATGACCCCTGATTTAAGCTCTCCTCAGTGGTCGTGCGTTGACTCATACCTAGAAAGCGTTGGCTTAGCGCAGCTTGCGCTGGACAGGACACAAGGCTTACATGCCAATAAAGGTAATTGGATAAGAACAAAACAGCCAAGGAAAAGCTGGATCAGTAAAGAAGACTTCAGAACAAACAAGTTCAGCTCTGTGAGGGCTACTTTGAGGTAGCAACTAGAACAACAGGAAATTGGCTTTTTGAACTTAATTAGGAGAGTGAACAATCACTGGGAAAACCGTCTAATTACAGAAACTTCAAGGAAACCCATAAGAAGACAAGCCCGTATTGCAGATACCTAGTAAAGCCACCACATTATCCTATACCTCTACATAATCTTTAAATTATGTATATATATACCTTGGTTTGCATATTTTATACTTAGGGAAGGCAGCATGGTATAGCCTCATCTCGCCAGATCTCGGAAGCTAAGTAGGGTCAGTACTTGGAAGAGAGACTAGGACATCAACAACAGAAACTGAAGAACGATTGCCCTGGGAGTAAACCCCATTTAACAGAACCTATAATTAGGTGAGATGAAGTGGAAAACTGGCCAGATCCCCCCTTCTCCAAAGAGCACACAATGTGCTAGGTGCTGTACAGCTTGCAGAAGTAAAAGCCATCTCAATAGCTTGCAGACTCCACTATATGCTAGGGAACGGGAAACGGAGATGTATCATTTAACATTTCAAACAACAAGTGCATTAACTATTGGGGGAGTCAGCAGAATCATGTAAAATAAGCTTAATTTGTATCATTTGCCCAGTATGTAGAAGCCTCAAACTATTTCAAGCCTATCTTTACACCCATAAGGGCTAGAAACTTGGGTTGTGTAGTTTTGTTTTGTTTTTTTAAAAAGGAAAGGTGGAATTCTCAAGATACTATATAGGGTTGCCACTTCTAGGTTGGGAAATTCCTCAAAACTTTGGGGGTGGCGCCTGGGCTAACCGAGTTCAGTTCCCCTGGAGAAAATGGCTGCTTTGGAAGGCAGGCTCTGTGGTGTTATACCCCATTGAAGTCCCTCCTCTCCCCAAACCCCGCCCTCCTCAGAGTCAGGCTCCACCTCCAAGATCTCCAGGTATTTCCTAACCCATGGCTGGCAACCCTAAGCCTGGGGAAGGGAGGGACCTCAGCTGGTATAAAGCCATAGAGTCCATCCTCCAAAGCAGCCATCTTCTCCAGGAAAACTGATCTCTGGAGACCAGTTGCAATTCCAAAAGAGTTTTAGGCCCCACCTGAAGGTTCTGCACTCAGCTCCTGAAAACCAGTTGCCTAAAGCTGGAGATTAAGTGGTAGGAGGAGAAAACCGCCATAGAAGCTGGGAAAGGGAAGCCATGAAGGGACTTTGTGGGTTGGCGGCTGATCCAGTCGTAAGACTTTGGGCCCTCCTGGGAATAAGCCCCATCCCATCCCATAAAATGGGAATTCCAAATAGGGTTGCCAGGTTGGGATTGGAAAATACCTGGAGACTTTGGGGGTGGAGCCAGGAGAGGTCGGGGTTCGGGGAGGGGACAGACCTCAGCATGGTACAGCACCATCGAGCCCACCCTTCAAAGCAGCCATTTTCTCCAGGGGAGCTGATCTCTGTCAGCTGGAGATCAGTTGTAAAAGCGGGAGATCTCCAGGCCCCACCTGGAGGCTGGCAACCCTAGTTCCAAATAGATCTGCTTTGGATTGCTTAAACATCCTCTTGGGGGGGGTTGGGTCCTGAAGCCTCTGCTGCAGGGAAAAGCACACAGCAAAAAAATGAGTATTCATGCAGCGTGAGACTTGGAATGTGCTCACCCAAGCTCAATCCACCTTGCCAGGAAGCAAATGGTGCCCCAGGGCTTCTCACCCATAACATTTAAAAGCCTGCTGGTTTAGCCAGACAGTGTTGAGTGGGAGCCACCATGCAAAGTTATCAAGTGCCTGTTTGCTGCATCTGTAGATTTTCCAGTTCCTATTCTGGAAAGGCTCCTCTGCCTTCAGCCACCCTTCTGTAATGTGACTCTGAAATCCATATTAGATAACTGGCAATGCAACTTTCTGTGGGGCTGCCCCTTGTAGAATGTTGAGAATCTTCAATAGGTACAGAGTACAGCTGTAAGAACTATGACAGGGGCAAGGGGGGGGGGGGGGGTGCATCTATTTTTAAATTATGCTCAGAAACAAACTGTAGATTCCTTCAGAGTACTGGTTCTTATGTCTGTTCCCATATTAACCTGCCTGACTATTACACCCCTGTTCCATGTACTTCCCTCTTCAGAGGTAGGATGGGTAGCCAGGATCTTTTCTGTGGTGGCACCTTGTCTGTGGAATCCCTTCCTTAAAACTCTTTGCTTGGCACATGAGCTGGTCTGGTTTTCCCAGGCTTTTGGCGATAAGTAGTAGTTACTTTGTTGGTTTCCAGTACACTTGTCATCTGTAATGTGGCTATATTTACTAAAGTTATTGCTGTTTTTTTTTAGTTCCCTCTCCCCTTTGCAGTTTTATTACTCTTTATTATTGGTGATTTTACTTGGTTTGGTTTTCTTTTTAAATGGGTGCTTTGTGAACTGCCTCAAGAACTTGGAGAGGCAGGGTTGCAAACTTCAGCAGAGATGTGATTTCACTAGGAGTTCTGTTTGCTGTGGACTCTATGGTACACCATAGAGCCTGCCCTCCCAAGCTGCCATTTCCTCCCAAGCAATTGATCTGTATAGTCTGATCAATTGTAATTCAGGGAGATGTCCTTGCCTCACCTTGAGGTTGGTAACCCTACCTGAGGAGACTAATGTTTAAGCAAGTAAATAAAAACCCAGTGGGTAAAGCGCTTGTCTCATCACTGTGCCCTTGTTCTGAGAAAACTGGCTGAACTTCTGCATGCTGGGTGGTGGGTCAGGCCAGGAGGCTGTTCAGGCCCAGTCAAAGTAGCAGAAAAGAGTAAGAGTTGAGTAGCACCTTAAAGACTAACAAAATTTGTGGTAGGGTATGAGCTTTCATGGGTCACTGCTCACTTCTTCTTCTGTATCTGAAGGAGTGAGCAGTAACTCGTAGGGTTGCCAGCCTCCAGGTGGGACCTGGGGATCTCCCGCTTTTACAACTGATCTCCAGCTGACAGAGATCAGCTCCCCTGGAGAAAATGGCTGCTTTGAAGGGTGGACTCTGTGGCATTGTGCCATGCTGAGGCTCCTCCCCTCCGCAAACCCCACCCTCTCCTGGCTCCACCCCCAAAGTCTTCCAACCCAGACCTGGCAACCCTAGTAACTCATGAAAGTTCATACCCTACCACAAATGTTGTTAGTCTTTAAGGTCCTACTCAACTGTTACTCTTTTCTACTGCTACAGACAGACTAACACAGCTACGCATCTTGATCTAGGCCCCGAGTAGCCAGCCTTATGTCCCCACAAGGCTTACAAGTAGGGTCCAAAGGCCAAAACCTCCCCGTTATTGCCCCTTAAAAAGGTAAAGGTTCCCTTGCCTGAAAGCCAGTCGAATCTGACTCTAGGGTTGCGGTGCTCATCTCCGTTTCCAAGCCAAAGAGCCAGCGCTGTCCGAAGACGTTTCCGTGGTCATGTGGCCGGCATGACTAAACACCACGGTGCATGGAACGCTGTTACCTTCCCACCAAAGTGGTACCTATTTATCTACTTGCAATTTCTTGCTTTCGAACTGCTAGGTTGGCAGGAGCTGGAACTAGAGACGGGAGCTCACTCCGTCATGCGGCACACTCGGGTCTCGAACTGCTGAACTACCGACCTTCCACAGCCTGCAGTTCAGCGTCTTAACCACTTGAGCCACCACAGCTCCTATTGCCCCTTAGCAACTGATATTTAAAGGTGCCACTACCTGTGACCATGAAGGTTCCAATTTATCATCATCATCATCATCATCATCATCATCATCATCATCATCATCATCATCATCATCATCATTAAATTTATATCCTAATGGACTTTCAGGATAGCTGATGGAATGGCTCAAAGTACAAACTGAAGAGTGGTTAAGGAGCATGGCGAAGGAATTTTCTCTCCTCATTGGGTCACTCTGCCCTGGCTGCCCCTTCCCCCTTCCCCCTTTGCAGTAGTGTTTCCTACCTCCATGAGAAAGACCTTGTGTTCCCGGGCGACTCGTATCATGTCCCGCACTTCATCAGCATTCATAGCGAGGGGCTTTTCACACAAGACATTCTTCTGAGCCCGGAGGAAGAGGATGGCAAGCCGGTGATGCTGGGTGTGGACTGACCCCACGTACACTATATCTGGAAAGACAAACCCCCAGAGATGGTGAGCGGAGAATATGGAGATGGTGATCCATGCTTAATTTGAACATATTGGCTCAACCACAGGATCTGAAGAAGAAGAGTTGGTTTTTTATACCCTGCTTTTCTCTACCTTTTAAGGAGTCTTAAAGCAGCTTCCAGTCGCCTTTCCCTTCCTCTCCCCACAAACAGGCACCTTGTGAGGTAGGTGGGGCTGAGAGATTCCTGAGAGAGCTGTGAATGGCCCCCAAGGTCACCCAGCAGGCCTCATGTGGAGGAGGAGGTGGGGCGTCAAACCTGGTTCTCCAGATTAAAGTCTTAACTCTTAACCACCACACCACACCATGCTGGTCCTCCTTTCAGTGCGAGCACATTTAGAAGGCATCTGCCTCACCTTTGAGATCATGCAACCACCATTCAGCAAGTCAGGGATTCGTGGCCAAAGCCTCCGGAATCAGAAGGAGTTAACTTTCAAGGCTGTACTAAGCCCTAGCACAGTGATGGCGAACCTTTTAGAGACCGAGTGCCCAAACTGCGACCCAAAACCCACTTATTTATCGCATAGAGCCAACACAGCAATTTAACCTGAATACTGAGGTTTTACTTTAGAAAAAAACAACTCATACGTTAACTTAAGATGATCCAAACAAAGTAAGGACAGCAATCCCAAATTCTTTCATTTACTTAAAATTATTTGGCAGAGAATTCGACACTTTAATGATGGTGTGGGCCTGGCTGGGGCGATGGCACGCGTGCCCACAGAGAGAGCTCTGAGTGCCACCTCTGGCACCTGTGCCATAGGTTCGCCACCACTGCCCTAGCACCTCCTCAGCAATGAAGGTAGCCCAGGAGCTGAAGTCCAGCTCCTCTGCTCTAGCTCACAGTTGCTAGAGAGGGCTCCTGTTGCACGGAAAGCGATATATGACTATTTGTAAAGCTGAAAAGGAGAATGGCCAATCTTAAAGCCGTTCAGCTTGGAGATATGAGTGTTGAATTGGACATTTTGTTTCAAGACTGAAGAATCAATTGCTGTTTACTTGTCCGAGTCTCTATTTTTTCTTTATTTCTGGCAGGTATCAGTTTCCCAGGAATTGAATACTGTTGCATGTCAGGAATCAAGTGCCATCAGCTACTAAAACACTAATATCTTTGTGTGGCAAATATCAAACTGGCAAAAGCAATACTTCCAGGTGTCGGTCCTCCAGTGCAGTCAGTGATTAAATGCTGTTCGATGTTGGCTGTCAGAGGCCATCAACCATAAGATGCTGTCCAAACGACTGATGTTGTATCAAAAGTCAAATACTGAATATGTGTTGAACAGAGATATAGTTCCTGTGAACATCCGAAGAAATACCTGGCCTAGGTTCAACATCAACTATGGTAGTGGAAAGTGCCGTCAAGTCACGGTGGACTTAATAGCAACCCTGTAAGGTTTTCAAGGCAAGAGAGGTTCAGAGGTGGTTTTGCCATTGCCATTGCCAAGGTATTCCTTGGAGGTCTCCCATCCAAATTCGCTAGGACTGACCCCGCTTAGCTTCCGAGATCCAACAAGATTGGGCTAGCCTGGGCTGTCCAGGTCAGGAACATCAACTGTAGTGGAAGAGAATTTGGGGATACAAAATGCGTGTCTCTCAGCACCGGCTTTTCCTCTCAGGGTGTTGTAGGGATGGAAGAGCCATCACTGGACTGTACCCCATGAATCCATCCCGCTAATGAAGATACATCCTCCTCTGGCACAAGATCCCTTCCCGACACAAGAGATTTTTCACCTAGAAAGCCGTGTGCATCAGCAAGGTGCCCCTGTGAGCAATGTTCCCTCTAAGCTGTGGGGTCTTGTGAGCAAATATTCCACTTTGTGAGCTGCTGGCATTAAAGTGGTGAGCAAGAAATTTGGCTACTGCATCAATGAGTTAGCTCTGGAGCCATCCCTTCCTGAGCGAAGACAGAAATGTGTGAGCCGGAGGCTAAAAAACTGTGAGCTAGCTCACACCAACTCAGCTTAGAGGGAACAGTGCCTGTGAGTGAAGCACATCCCCAGGATGCCACTCGCTGTTTTTATTCAGCTCTTTAAAAACGTACAGAAGCACCCCGATTGCTAGCACAAGAAATGCATCCCTGCCAATCCAGGGGTTTTGACTGAGCCCCACAGACTGACTTGTTTCCTGGGTCAAGACATTCCCATCTGCAAATTGGAAAATGCCACCCCCATCTCCTCTCCCTCGTCTCCCTTCCTGCCCTGATGTGATTCTCAGGTGCCATCCTCACCTACATCAGGATCCCGTGCCAGTTCCTCATACGATCCATAGGCCCTGGGGATGTCATGCTTCTTGGCGTATTCTTGGGAGCGTGCAAGATCCCGAGAAGCAATGGCTACTGCCTGGGAAGAGAAAAGAGGGGTCATGTGAAGGGAGGAAAGAGCAAGCCTATCTATTGATAACTTGTCACTTAGATCAGGGGTCCTCAACATGGTGCCTCTTTGAAGAAATGAAGATGCTCAGAAAGTCTTCTCAAGATAACGAATTTACTAACATAGAAGCAGTGCAAAGCAAGAACTCTACAAGTATATTGTCTTATTAACAAATGTAATACATCTAGTTTAACTGGGATATGATCTCTCACTCTTGGGTTTTTAGTTAGTGTGGGTATCTTTTCTTTCTTTCTTTCTTTCTTTCTTTCTTTCTTTCTTTCTTTCTTTCTTTCTTTCTTTCTTTCTTTCTTTCTTTTTTACCCTGCCTTCCCCGCAAGCGGGCTCAGGGTGGCTTCCAAAACTGACAAGCAGTATTCATACACAATGAAACATAAATACAAAGCATCAGTTAAAACACAAACAATCCATATAAAACATTCATTAGATGGCGATAAAACTAAAGTGCAGTTTAAAGACACATTCAACGGTGCCCCCACGTTAGATCGTACTGGATCGAAGTTTACACAGGGCGCTGCTGGTACGCCATCTCTCCTATCAGAACGCCTGCCTGAAAAGTTCTGTTTTCACGGCCCTGCGGAACTGTGACAAGTCCCGCAGGGCTCTAATCTCGGCAGGAAGCTCGTTCCAGTAGGACGGAGCTGCAAATGAAAAAGCCCTTTATCCATAGATGTAGTCCCTTCCCAATTTTTTCTTTGTAGTTTTGTAGTCTATTGAAAGACAATAAAAATACCCCTTCGGGGGTTTCAAAAAACAACAACATGGTGCCCTTGGTTGCCGTGGGGCTCTTCAGTACCTTTCCTGGTGCTCACACCAAATGTTTTGGTAAAGTGGGCGGGGCCAGGTGGGGCTATTGGCGGTTGGGGAGTTGATTGGCTGTGCAGGTTGTAAAAAAACAAACAAACATGGCCACCCCCCCCAAGGGTCTTTGAGGTATGATTGCAGGTTAGCCATGGAAGCCATTTTGTGGCTGGCTCCACCTTAGGGTTGCCAAGCTCCAGGTGGTAGCTGGAGATCTCCCACTATTACAGCTGATCTCCAGGTGACAGAGATCACTTCACCTGGAGAAAATGGCCACTTCGGAAGGTGGACTCTATGGCGTTATACCCTGCTGAGGTCCCTCCCCTCCCCAAACCCCACTCTCCTCATTGGATTACCCCCCCCAAATCTCCAGGTATTTCCCAACCTGGAGCTGGCAACCCTACTCTGCTCCTGTTGCAGGCATTTGGTGGCTGTGCCCACCATCCTGGGGCATAATTCAAAAGGTTCCCACAGGCCCAAATAGGTTGGAGACCCCTGTCTTAGATCCTTCCTAATTTGGCTGACTAATAGCAGTTCTGCCAGCAGAACCGCCTTTCTGTTGTGAAAGAGGGATGGGGAGTTCTGCTGAATTTCTCTAATCTTTCCCTCCCCATCCTGTTCCTTCCGGTCAAGGATAACTTGAGGAGGCACAGAAGGCTGTATGGGGAGGGGGAACCAGACTTCTTGTTCTAGTGTGGCATTGCACTGTTTAGGATCCCAGCCTACGCATAACAAGCATTGGATTACCCAACAGCCAGACACAGCACATGCTTAGGTCACCAGCAAAGCGGGGGGATGCCTATAGAGAGAGAGATTTTTCTGAAAGAATTTCCTATTTCAAATATACAATATGCGTTGCCACCTGTATCCAATTAGTGTCTTAGATTAGATGAGAAACCAGCAGAGTAATCTACGTATTAATGTTGCATTAAGCTGAATGTAAACATAGATTTCAAGGTCTGCAGTGTAAAACACTCTTCAAAACAGACTGAATAAGCAGAGAAGAAGAAAAAAACCTTTTTGACTGCTGCGGTGCCTTGACAAAGGACCGAACACGGGTGCGGTGCTACGGGAGCCACGACAGCTGTCAGATATTTGGAATAATCTACCTCTGCGTCAAAGAAGGACTGTGTTGAGCTACTCTGAGCTGTATTATTCAGAGGAACTTTGAGCCCAGGAGGACACCATTTAAATATTTGTACCATGGTACGAATACTTGATAATCACTATTGAATAGATTGCATAATAATATCACGATTGTTTTTTTATTTACTTACAACTTATCCCATGATCTCACGTTTGTATAACCATCTGGAGGTTGGCACCCCTAGCCGGATCCAACCTGCTCTTCTTCTGGGGAGGAAGGGTTCCCCTTCAACCACCCTCAAAAAAGCGATACTGGAGGCTAGGTTTGCCAGCCCTGTACCTGTGAATCTCGGGAGCTGGGGGGGGGCATTGAGCCTGGAGAGGAGGAAGTTATCACAGACACTGTACTAACCCTTCCAGGTGATTACCTGGAAGCGATGTCACACCTGGCACCCTAGGAGGAGCTCCCCCAATCTCTATGGTAAAGACACAGAGGAAATTCTTAGAATCATGGGGTAGTGTGATGTCATTGCCTCCCCTTTTCCGCCTACTGCACAATTGGTCAAGCATGGCCAAATGCCTCCGCAGGTGGACACATGGTAAGCAGTGTTCCCTCTAAGCTGTGGGGTCTTGTGAGCAAAAATTCTACTTTGTGAGCTACCGGCATTAAAGTTGAGAGCGAGCGATCTGGCTACTGCATAAATTAGTTTGCTCTGGAGCCCTCCTTCCTGAGCTGGGACAAAAATGTGTGAGCCAGAGGCTAAAAAACTGTGAGCCCGCTCACATTAACTCAGCTTAGAGGGAACACTGAATTGGTAAGCCTAGCTGGGGACCATGGTACCTGTATGGACGAAAGCCATAGGGGACTGGCTGTAGAGAGGAAAGCAACGGGGCAAGATGGATTGCGAAAGCTGCTTGACCCAACCTTGCTTTTTCCCTATACATAAACTGTGTCCAAACAATACATTGGCCTGGATCCAGAGAAATACAATCAGAGCAGTTCGCTGAAGATTCCATTGCCATTTCCTCCTCCCCACTGCAGCCCCCCTGTGCCCGATTTTGAGGGTTTAGAGACTTCCAAGGATGCCGTGGGATATGGTGTGGGCGATTTGCAGTGGGAAGGAAGAATCCCTGCCCTCTTCCTTGGCGTCACCTAGAAAGGCAGCCCCCGCATGCTTTTAAGCCCCTACAGATTCTCAAGCCTTGAACAGACAGGGGTGAAGATAGAATCCATCTTTTCATATCGAGCCAGAGAATCATGACTGGGCCACGTGAATCAAGAGGAAGTAGCCTGATTTTCTCAGGAACTCCATTTACACACTAATCAAGTCTCATTTCTGTGACTCTCCAAGCTTCTTCCTCATACCCCAGCCACGATTAAAGACTGGTGCTTACAGGACAAGAAGTACGCACTCCAGACCACACAAGGATCTGTATTACGATGGAGACTTCTCCAGGATACTAACTAATTGAACACTTAATCAGGCAGGATGGGTCATCTCTTGGTCCCTCCACCCTCTCTCCAGGCCAGGCGTTCATCACACAAATACTTATGATCTCCCCACCCCCACAGCAACCTGACCTGACCCGACTGGGGTCTCACATTGGTAGTTAGCGGGTTCCCCATGAGATCTCCTAGAAACACACACTGAGAAGGCTGGCAAAGAAGGCCTCCCACCATTTTGTAGTTGGTTTTCCTCTCCCAGAACTTGCAAAGAAGAAGAAGAGATTGGATTTATATCCCGCCCTTCACTCAGAGCGGCTTACGATCTCCATCCCTCCCTCTCCCTCCAACAGACACCCTGTGAGGTACATGGGGCTGAGAGAACTCTTTGAGAACCACTCCTGAGAGAACAGCTCTGAGAGAACTGTGATTGACCCAAGATCACCCAGCTGGCTGCAAGTGGAGGAGTGGGGGATCAAACCCAGTTCTCCAGATTAGAGTCCGCCGCTCTTAACCACGACACCAAACGGGCTCTCTAAATGAGACAGTAGGATCCATTCTTCAGGACAGGCAGAGTATGACCTGATTTCACTTCCTGCCTCTTCACTCATCTGCCAAATCATTGTCTGGCTGGCTCACTGCCCTCTGACTTCCGAAAGCCTCCCCACCTGTCCTCACCTGGTTAGGTACCCCTTTTCCCCTTCAGCACCCTCCCTCCGTCTCCCTCCTCCCTCCATGTTTTTTGCACCCCTTTTGGGGCACCCCCTGCACTCTTTTCACCTCTCTGGGTGGTTTCTCTGGGACTAGCCATATAGGAAGAACATATTTTTGGAGTTAAAAGCACTACAACTGGACACTAGGATCTTGCAAAGTTGTTGGAGTATATACAAGTTATGATAGAGTTAACTGTTTATATATGCTAATTGTTAGCTAGCATGTAGTGAATCAGCTTTGTTGCAGGTAGCTCCCAAGGAAGAGGATGTCCTATTCCAGATTAGATGTGCTGTAGAGTAATTATTGGTTGACCAATGTATCGGTGGGAGGGAGTTTAGGGGCTTATTTTCCTGCCTTTGTTCTAAGACCAGAGAATCTATCTTGAAGTAACCAGTGAAGATGTAGGTTAGACAGTCAGGATGTTTTTTCTTGTTTTCTCTCCAAGTGTTTCCCTTCCCTGTTTTCTAGTAAACTTTTTATAAAAGCTAAACACATCTTTTGTTACTCTGCTTCAGAATCCCTCCCAACAAAAATGAATGTTGATTAGATGACCATCAGTAGCTCCTGTATCTTATCCATGAACTGCCTGGTCCTGGTGCCTTATTTGCCACACATAGGCTGCAGTTACACACACTAAATAATCCACTTTCAGTGTACTTTCCAACTGGATTTTACTGTGTGTGAACTGGCAAAATCCAGTTGGAAAGTGCATTGAAAGTGGATTATTTAGTGTGTGTGACCACAGCCTCAGGATGTGTTCAGGTGGGCAGCTGATCCTGCCATTATGCCGGCTCAAATTTGATCCCAATCTTTTAAATCCATCCTCGCACGACCAGACATCCCCCGGGGGAATCACCTTACCGTGCGCTGCTTCCGCTGTGGATTGTCTAGACGGTGTCCACTAAAG